GCTCACATATGTATACTAGTTCATTGTATGCACATACATATTTGTTCTAAAGCATACCTGCAAAAGCATGTACACATCAGCGAGTATGAGCACTCGCAGATCTCGATGTACAGCCATAACCGGACCAGTGATTAGTTGTGTCAAATCTGTCTCTGACCTACCCCTCGCTCGTCCGTTACCATGACTACGTGATGGTATACGAGGTCGCAGCACGTTGTTTAGCATATTAAATGGTTCCTGTGGTGTACGCTTCTCTGTGTCGGTGTCTGTGCCTACATTCTTATTCGCTTCATTACCATTTATAGTGTCGGCACTGCCACTATCTCCACAGTCTTTCGTCACGTACTTGGAGCCGCTTGCAGCCTCCCCACTATCCACACACACTGTACACACACATTTACACACACATTGAGCTGCTTCAAACGCCATCCGTTGCGCCCGCACGCGCTCCTTATCCATCTCTTCGACTCGAGCCAATTCTAACTGTGCCACAGAGTGCGAGAACAGAACTATCAACGACCGCATAGGCGAACGTCCCAAGCCCTTCCTATCACCGGCCACACTGGCGCCCATATATGCACTGCCTACTTCCGCAGCCGCACTACAACCCCCGTGCTTATCCGCAGCCTTCCCACTCTGCTGGCTTGCACCGGCCCCGATATGACTATACACACCAGTCATGGCTTGCTTTGTATCTGCATCTGTGTTCGCTGTAGAACGTGTCATAGTGCCACCGCCTCGGGTGGTGCGATCACACAGTCCCACTATATCCGCAGCCACCTGGGCGCGCGTGTCTGACTTCGCACTCGCAGCGAGTAACTGGGCCACCTCATTAGTGCGCGTATTAGCCGTTGCAGACCTCCCGCTCTCCAGTACTTTCAACCCAGCCCCACCGTTAGACGACGCCTTATTGGACGTATACTTGCCCTTTGCCCCGTCCTTGCTCGACTGCGTTCTGGTGCCCGTAGTCTCTTCAAAGTTAGCGTCCGTGCGTGCTTTTATGGCGGCGACTGATTCGGTATCCATCTGCGCACTCGGACAGTTGTTTGGGGCTGCATTCGCCTGCGTGTGCGTGTCAGTACCCTTTCCAGTGTGCATGGGAGAGTTCATAGTTCTATTCATGGTCTGGCTCATACTTGCGTGCGAGTAAGAATCGCTGGCCCCTCCCCCGGTCGATACCTTACCCATAAGCACATCGTATGCGGTTGATAGTGCCTTGAGAATGTGCATGCACTCGGACTCGACATAGTGTGCGTCTAAGTGCACCTCCAATTGCATCAGTCTGTGGCGAATGCAATCAGTGTGGATGGAACAAATTGTTTAGTTTGGACTGTGTTCTGAGGACACAGCACGCTCGTAACGACAACATAAGCAACGCGCAACTGCGGTCAAGGCTAAGCTAGGTCTATATATAGTTTAAAATATTTGAAACGTCATATATTTATGAACAAGTCTGCTCGTCAGCCAGATACGTGTCTAGGGTTTAGGGTTTTAGGGTTTAGGGAGAGTAAACCCTAAAACCCCAAACCCTTGACCCTAACCCTAACTACTTTTATAGAATGCCGCTTCATATTTTCGATATAGTGTTTTGTCGGAGACATAATATATTGAAAAGCTCACTAACAAACTTTTCCTTTTTCGTATACACAAATACACACTAATTCACCCAAAGCACATTGTGTATGTCTCTTCTAGACTCGTTTTAAACACGCAGACAAGAGCTAGCTTCGTGCTTTCAATACTGATATTTCGTACTCGACTGCTAGACGAAGCCACGCGCACACCCTTCCTAAACACTCCAAGCCATATACCTGTTGCAAACAACCACATGCCACACCTTGCCACCGACGCCTGTTGCGGCACCGCTTCCACCACAATGTCCACGTATCGCCGTAGAGTCAAACACCCCGCACACCGTACGGGGCGAGCAGGTCTATTGTTTGTCCCAGGCGTAGGTGCTTCGGCGTGTGTGCCCCTCAATACCAACACAGCCAAGTGCAGCATGCGATGCACGCTCGCATGCGCCTCTCGCATAGCCACATCAGTCGTACTGGAAACATCGGGTGCGTGTCTGAAACTGCAGGTGCATGCACAGGAGCCCGGTGGTTTGGTATCGCTGTGAGACGTGTTATTACACACATCTCTGGCATTCTGCTGAGCCTGTGCATGTACCAGACGTGGTGCAATTCTATCGAAGAAGCTGTCGACCACAGCGTGTGCTTTGTCGCGCCGGCCCGCGCTCAGAAATTCATACGCAGCGTCGACGTGTGCGTTTATGCTTTCTTTAGTGTACTCCAGTTTCACAGGTACCTTCAGCGTGACCTACAGTGTATAAATTTGAATATATATATGTGTATACATATATATGCTATTGTCCGTTGTTACAAAGCCAAATCACATGATTGCTAGTATTGTTTTAGAGTTTGAGGCTTTAGGGCTTAGGATCTACACTTCAACTGAGGCATCAGTCTGTGAGTCGATAGACTCCTTGGTACACTCCCGTGCCCTTTTGTCCTTGCAAGTCGGGCACTTCCAGTGCAGGTAACCTCTAGCCCAGCATGGTATACCGTTCTTAACGAGAACTTAGGCTCAATGTAATTTATTCACGTGCTCTGTAAGTACAGTACACGAATTTGTGCATGACATTGTTAGTGTGTGTGTGCACCAGCCTTAACTACGTTATGCTTTGGCCACTACAGTGATTGGTTTTTTCGGAACGTCTCAGTGCGTATTACAGTTGAGCGCAACCATGATGCTACATCCAACCCCCACATATACGACCGATGTTGCGTGTCCATAGGCATACAGTGTATTTCTATAGTCAGACCAGCGAGTTATTAATTGTCGTATAATACAGGATCGATTGAATGGCCAGGTGCAAAACCACATAGCATGCATGCTCAGAGCACATGGACAAGTTTCCCACCACAGACAATGGCTGTTTGGAACTACACCGCTTCTCATGTAACGCATGTGCGTAGCCCGACTGCACGTACATATCCACATACAACGCCTGCTCAACCCGCGGCTGCAAGAAAACATATTCACATACAACGCATGATTACTACCAGGCAGCTAAGTAAATCATAGAACATACCTCAGACCGCGTTGGATTCTGTCGTCTACGCGATAGCAAACGGGTAATCCCAGCCAACGGCCCGTTCAGAAGCTCTCCGACATTTTCTCCATCCTCTCCACAACCAGCCGCTCCTGGATAATTGTCCATCCCCGCATCCCCGATGCGCTGAGCGTACCGGTGCTCCTGAGGCAACACCCAGCCTGCACCCAACCCCTCGGTAAGGCCCATGGTGCCGAACTTTGAATTATTGGAATATGAAATCGTGTGAGACGATTGCGTGTCCTCAGAAAACGCCTCATTTTCTTCTCTATCGCCGTCACTGTCACTGTCGCCCACGCATACACCCCCGAAAAGATTCCCGCCAGAACCGGCGTTTTGCCCATTTATAGGGTGCTGCTCGGCACACTCGAGGTCAAGTCCGGTGGCCCAACTCTGCAGATGGGGAAGCAAAGGGCTTAGAGTGCGAAACATTGCGGATGGTATGGAAAGTCAGGGCAAGCAGTATCTTGCAGTATTCCCTGTGCCTTTGTGTTTGCATGTTGGCGTATTGGTCCTCAGCGTAGACATAGACCAAGTCTTCATCAGCTGGTGGAGGTAAACATTCTTTCATGTTGTATATGGTCAATATTTATATTCACTTACCGTACTCATTGTGCTGGTCTCCATGTGCTGAGTTCATATAGGTTTGTACACATCTACCAAAGGTATGTATATGTTTGTATACGTGATATACAGGCATTGTAATCTACACAGGTACAGTACAACTAGAAGAGTCGCTCTCCTTGAGTGATTGTTGACGGCAAGTGAACACGGATTCTATAAGTTTCTAAATTTACCATCGCATAAGTTAATCTTCATCAATCTCACAAATAGGGTTTAATAGCTTTATCCTCCGAGCGGATACATACTACATGCACCGACATACATCTCCTACATAAATACTGGAGATATCCATTTGGTATAACATTATATTACACACACCTCATCGTCTGAATCACCCCATCCCTGAGCGCTATTCCGATCAGCGTCTTTCGTTCCTGCAAACCCATCGCCAGCTGCCGCTGCATTTGGAGGGAGTGCTATCCGAACTGTCCACACCAGTCGGGTTGGGAAGCGAATGTCACAGAATAGATATCAGCATATGAAAATCACTGAATGCATATGAGGTTGAATACGAGACTCTGGCACATAGTCGTGATTGAGCGTCTACGGCTAACAAGCAATGCGTATTAAATACTCTACGATGATGGGAGTACACAGGAAAGGTTCGCTGACATGCTAGCAAACGGCAATGACGAATTCAAGTTTATACGAAATCGCGAGAGCATGTGAGTACGTGTGTGTGTTGATACAAACGCGATTTCATGAACAGAAGCCAGGGCACTAGCAATAAACAGACATCACAGATAAATTAGTGGTTGAGCCCGAATTGCTATTGTCACGATTTGGAACTGAGAGTGCACAGAAATGTACAATATTGCTCAATACAATATACATTTGTGGACAAGGCTCATCACCCAAAAGGATTCGTTGAAAAGTGTTTGTGAACGAAACGGAGTTGCGCCTTAGTAGCTCGTCTTAGCTTTTTGGTAAAATCAATGTCACCTCATATTATGTATGGCGTTCTAGGCGTTAAGATATCTAGTGCACACATCACACGTCCGCATGCACACGTTCAACTCCACTAGCCTTCCTTCGCACTATACAAATACTGGCTATGCAAAAAAGACAATACGCAGTGACACACCAAAAGGTGCATCTTCCTCCTCACACTCTGCAAAGAATGAATCGTCGTCATCGCTGTCTGAGTCTATTGGCAGACCGGAAACCACATGCGACAGCGCAGACGAAGGTACCGAACTATCACTGCCCTCAGCTTCGTCTTCAGCCGTAGCTTTCTGCAATAAGAAAGCACAAGCATCGAAGATTTTATTTCATAGGTCGAACATATAAATGAACAACAAAATTGAACAATTGTGGCAACAATAATAACTGAAATGGATCCAATAAATGTGCGGAAATGAGGTTTATTTTCATCTTATTATTGTGCTTGTATACATAGCTATTGATTTGTACAGTCTTTGCAAACATACAAAACCTGCTACACAACTCCAGATAGCGAAGAAGAAGAAAAATCTATACACAAATATATATA